AAGAGTTCCACATGACCTATTACAGCAGGTAATTACATACATAGAAGAACCATTGCTTTGATGAAGATACATCAAAACATTGTCCAGTATTATCACCTTTTCTAGTGAAGCAAATGGACTACAGTTATTATCAATCATATGGAGAATAAGTTAAGTCGGAAAGAAACAATAAAAAACCCTAACTGAAATGAAACATAGTGTAAAAGTCTTGATTATTACAGTAAGTTTGCCAAGAACTTCAGTGATGCCAGAATTTCACTTCTAATATTTCCAGCCTTCTAAGAATCTTAATGTACTGTAACAAATTATCTAATTCTCATGAAAAAGTGAATAAAGCCTTTCCTTCTATCTGTTAATAAGGAAGACTATTTTGTTTTATATTAATTAGTAAGTAAAATAGGCCTGAAGGTTAAAAACAAAAAAGGTAATTTAATGTATTTCTAGTTATATCTGGCAAAAAATGTATCTGAAACAATTACTAAAGTATCTGAAAACTTCAGTACGTTTTAGTAAAATAGATCTCATCAGTACCAAGTTAATTTTCAGTGACAACTTATATTCATTTTATGAAGACCATCAATGAAGATTTTCTCAGAATATGTTTGGTGCTACCTGGCTTCCAAATGCCCTGTGAAGATACAATTAACTTTTCATTGGCTTTCCTTTCAGAAAGGTGAGAAAGGAGATCCAGGCGTTCGAGGCATCAGTGGGCAAAAAGGAGAATCTGGTATCCAGGGTTTGGTTGGACCTCCTGGTCTCAGAGGTCAGCCAGGAGACAGAGGACCTCCAGGACCACCTGGATCAGATGGAAAACCTGTACGTATAGCACCTCAAACTTGTCATTTCAAGTACCTTAAAAAACCCAAAAAAATGCATGCTCTCTGGTTTTTTAACCTTTCTCTGTTCAATTCAGGCACGAGAATTTTCAGAAGAATTTATTCGACAGGTGTGTTCAGATGTACTGAGAAGTAAGTTTGAAAGCCTCTTTACTGCTCTTTCCTTGTTTAAAGTGCTGGAGAAGTTTCCTGGTAATTATAAAGATTCTTTCTTGAAAACAAGATCCATATTACTGATTTATTGCTTGTTTTCCTACAAATTCCATACTTTACGATCTTGTTTCCTAAAGGTGTCATATTCTCTAAAGAAAGGAAACTGTTTTTATATTAGTGGCTAGGGGGCAGTATTTTTATATTTTATTGTTACAACACTCTAAGCAATTTTTTGTTTGAATTCACCCAGCCCAGTTGCCTGCCATCCTCCAGAGTGGAAGGCTACAAAACTGTAACCACTGTCAATCCCAAAGTGCTTCCCCTGGACTTCCAGGACCACCAGGTCCAAGAGGCCCTGAAGGCCCAAGAGGGTTTCCTGGTTTACCAGGAAGCGATGGCATTCCAGGGCTGACAGGCATCCCGGGTCGCCCTGGGGCTCGTGGGACAAGAGGTACTGCATGCATGCGTTACGGTGCTAATGGCCTTTAGGGCATTGTTTTCTGCTTCCAGTTTTGAACAGGGTTAGTGCAGGGTGGAGTAAGGGAATAGCTGAGTTTGTATCACAAAGTGTGATTGAGGACACGGTGCAATGTGAACGTTTCACCGCTTATGAAGAACGCGTGTCAGAAGAAGAGAAAATACAAGAACACAACAAGATACATAGTGTTCAGTTCTACTATAGTCAAACCTTGTTTTCATCTTTTTAGAGAATTCTTAGTCTCCAGTAAATATTTTTAACTGCATTTATATTATTTTCTTTAGATCAAATATGCTTAGACATGGATTTAAATGTATTTCCATATATTCTAGTTTCTTTTGTTCTAGACTTCTTTGTTTCTGCTATTTGAAAGAAGAGTATTTATCCACTGGCTGTTTACTGTCTGCTACCCTGTAGGCTGATGTTTGGCATACAACAACCTTTCTACTCCCTCTGATCTCCTGGGGTTTTCTACTTTTTTCTTTTTACCTTATAAGGACTTTTACTGCTTTCTTTATGCTTTTCTTAAACATTCTGGTTTCTTTTCAGGCAAGCTAAGGTTTATGCTTTCAGGTAATTTACCCATCCAAGCATTCCAACTGATTTTTGTGGTGTGTTTGTAGACTTCCAGTTAACTTTGCATGTATAGTCTGGACCTAGAGACTGCGTGAAATCCATAATTTGGTAACTGGTCCCAGCAGCGCTTGTTTCCTATAACATCAAAATAATCAGGAAAGCTGTATGAAATACAGCTAACTAGTAATGTGTCAAGGGTAGGCAGGAAAATGGTTGGTAAATATTTACTTTCTTTGTGACTTATTAACTGTTACCTAGCACATCAAATTCATTTTGGATGTCATAATGATTTGTCTGTAGTACTTTTATAATTTCATCTGCAATAGGAGAACGTGCAGTTTTCTTCTGGAGCCGACACTAGCAGTTATGACTATTCCATAAGAGTTGGATAAATAGATATCCCTTTCTATGAAGAAAGTTAATTTATTGGGTTTTACTAGTGTGAGAGAGCACATATTTTGCCCCTCTCAGTATTTCTTTGGTGGAGATTTAATTCTGACATATATTGTGGAATACTATCTATATATTGTGTATTCCACAGGGACTGTGCTGAATACCTTACACTTCCTTCATACAACTTCTGAAAACCTTTGCCAAAGGAAGGTCAATGACAGCAAATTTCTGTATTTCCCATGGTCTATTCACTCAACTCATAGTGGCTGTCTGCTTAACAGGTGCTACATCAGCTCTTAATTCAGTAGGAAAGAGGATAATTTAGAACCCAGTTACACTGTGCAGGTTACAAGGAAATGCTTGTTTTACATCTCATTATTTGCTTTTGAACTATTATATTTTTTATTCAGTAGCTATTATCAAATGCTGATTTTCTAATTCATTGGGTGAAAATATTCATAGTGTACAAAGACATACATGTGTTTGCTAATTCACAGGACTGCCAGGGAAAAATGGCGCAAAAGGCAATCAAGGAGTTGGTGTTCCTGGGATCCAAGGCCCCCCAGGACCTCCAGGTGAGGGATGGTTCAGCTCTGCAGGTTCAGTGCATGCTAATAATTGCCAAAATATGTGGTTTAGAAAAATGTTGATATAATTTAGAAAATCTTAGATAATTTTTACACATTTTAATTACCATATGTGTTTTATGGCTAATGCCTGTCTCTTGCATGCTTTTTCAATTGTCTTATAGTACATTATTTAATATAAGACAGGTCTTATAGAGATTGGTACCTAAAGCTGCTGTTTCTTGATAGATGGATCTTGAAGTCAGCCATTAGCTGAAAACTGAGCCCTGATAGAATCATGTGACTTGTAAGCATTGCTTAGTGAAGGAAAATGTTCTTCCTAAAAGCAGTGTGTTCATGCAAAATACAAAGTTGAGCATTTGGAAGAGATATTGGGGCCTGATCCAAAGCCAGAGAAATAAATATAAATAGGAGGACTCTGATTAATGCCATTGTGGTTCCAGATTATATGACAAAGTGTAACAGTATACTAAAGTAGATTTTTATATTTCCATTTCAAAGCTATTTTTCCTTACTGTGTTTTCCACATGCTTTTTTCTTTAAAAAAAATCTTAGTAAGGTATCATGTTGTTTATAAAAACATATAACCAGTTCGTGACAGGAAGTGTCTTTTTGAGAAAACGAAGTTTTCTTTATCTGCATACTTCACCAAAGAGCAGGGTTTTTGTGGGTCTGTACTTGCTCTTGGTTTAATTTTAATAAAAATAATCTGTAATATATTTGTTCATTGTGTGTATGTCGTTAAGGTCCTGAAGGTCCACCAGGTATGAGTAAGGAAGGACGTCCGGGAGAGCGTGGGCAGCCTGGTAAAGATGGAGATCGTGGCAGTCCGGGAATGCCAGGACCAGTTGGACCCCCTGGAATTTGTGACCCATCACTATGTTTTAGTGTAATTGTGGGGAGAGATCCATTTAGAAAGGGACCAAATTATTAATTTTTGATACAATTACTAAGAGGAATAGGTATGGTGCTTGTCTTTTGTGGTCTTTTAAGTCTCAGGAAGGTGACCAGCAATAATCCCATAAGCAGGAACAGAAGTACCTCTGACATTATAAACATCACAAATAATGATCCCAAAGGCTATACATTCCTTTAGAAAAGAAACTCCAATATTTTTTAAATAAGTTGCATTGATTGCCTCTCAAGTGTTTTTAAAGAGATCATCAGTTTTAATAGGAATAAAATTAACTATAATATTTGGTATTTAGTATTTAAGTGTCCTATTGTACTCCTGCTACCACTGAAGTCCTTGGCAAAATTGCTGGAGATGCCACTGGGAGCAGGATTAGGCCTTAAATGGTGTTGGTCATGTATAAATTACTGTGAAATTTTTCACATGCAGCCTACATACAGTATTTGGTTTTGAAAGAATGTGGCTGGCTTTGACTTCATATGTGTGTGAATCTCATTGGCTTGTGTACATTTCATATGTCATAGCTCCAAGTGTTCTGTGAGCAAAAGCATATATCGGATGTTTATAAATTAAGAGAAATATCTGGACTTATTATGGAAGTAATATCACCTATATTTCCATGCAACTCTTTGCTTAAAACCAAGGGGAATTGCAAGGGTAGAAATCCTACTAGTTTGAGAAGGGCCAAGGTTTTGTTGAAGATGGTACTTTCAGCTAAAAGGTCAAAAAGTTCCATATGGGTGATTCAGCTTATATGAAAATAGCATTAAAAATAACAAACAATAAAAAACTGATATAGCTGGCTTACAGCTATGATTTGACAAAAGTAAAAATTAAAAAATGTTTGCACAACCCCAGAGTAATAGTTCTGCATAATTAAGTATTAAACTATATACCCTTTGCTGTTTCTCCCAAAGGACTGCAGTTGCCAAATTGAAGCAGCAGGTTTACAAGGAGAAAGGTCTAACTGCTGGCTGACTAGCTGCAACGTTTGTTATGCTGTTTCCTTTTTCATTTTAAGCAGGCTATGTGTAATTTTCATTGTATGCTTTGCTAATGAGGTGTATTGCTTGCTTTTACATAAAGAGCAAAGGCACAATTCCCATGAGAATCCATTTCTTAAATTAAGGCAGTCTTGTATTGAACTTAACTGATGCTTTATAAGTGGCTTTTTCTGATGTGTTGTTTTTCTGTTGTCCTATCAGAGACTGGTAATATGCTTGACATTCAAGGTAAAATAAAATTTTTTAAAGAACTGGTGGTAGTTTGGTGAGTGATTGCAAGAGTTGCCTGTGTCCTGTGTCGCAGAAAAGAGTGACGCCTGTAATACATGGAGGGATAGTTCTACCTTGCAGCTATGGGTTTTTTTTCCCTGGTGTCCTTCCTTTCCTCTGGAGAAAGCACTGTCCTTGGGAGCAGCAACTTTCTGCAGGGCTCCTGCAGAGCTGCACTGTGCCCAGTGGCTGCTGCTTGCCCAGAGCTGCAGCCCGTGGAAGGGTGCTTGCAGTGAGTAGTTCAGCCAAACCACAGCCTTGGTTGTAGCAGAGTGCAATCATTAGCATCTCGTAAAACCTAGCCTAAAAACCTCCCAGATGATTCTTGAAAGATACTGATGTGGACCTGAGAAATGAGGCTGTACATGAAGTTTTCTCAGAAGACACTTTCTCCCCAGTGTTCCTCGGTACACACTGTAGGACTCCTGAACAAGCATTGATTGAATTTGTGGAAGAAAGAATCTAGAAACCTCTTATTTTGTTGCATTCAGTCTCACGTTCATTTTTTTGAGAGCTGGAAGTGAAACATGTTGCTAGGTCAGGAAGGAATCAGAATCCCATCATGTTTGTGGAACCCTTCTGAGCTGTCCACACTGCATGACAACTTAAATCCATGTTTAAGACACCTTTTCCAGTAAGATCTATGGTGATGTGACTGAGAGCCTGGGGAGAAGCAAAAACAAAAAAAAGAAGAGCAAGTTAGAAGGACCTCTGACTGCAGCAAATACAGACAGAAAACCAGAATTCCTTACTTACAGAAAATACCAATATTTGTTTTCATTATAATTTCAGATAACACACATACATTCTTCTGCATCATGGTGGAAACATGGTGGAAAAGTTGGAAATTTTTGAATATTTCATTTTATTTTGCATTCATTTAGTAAAAGCATTTCCTTCTATATCCAAACAGTTCAGTTTTATCAAGAGGAATAAAAATTTTCATGTAGTGCATTTGACAGGAAAAAAGTCTTTATTTATCAGCTAGTCTGTTTTTTTGGTAGCTTAGGTTATGATTTCATTTAACCAAATGTAGTGCTGGCTTTGTCACCCCATTAGTCCTATTGGAGGCTTGTTTCTGAATGATTCTGACTGAGGATCTGCATGTAATTTTCAGTCTGCATCTATTAATGGCCATTTTATGTACCTTTATTCTTATGCTAACGTTGTCTTTGGCTAGAGTTACTCCTTTTCTTTTGACATCTTTTAGAAAACCAGTATTCCTGGACAGCCTTTTGTTTGCTAGGTTAAGCCAGCAAACCTTTTATTTTCTACCTCTTTAAAAAGCTCTCCACTCCCTTTCCATCCTTCTAATTCTCTGCTTTACTTTTGCAAGGGGGAATGAGTCGATCTAGAAATATGTCCATAATTCTAGGTAAGGAACCTCAGTTGTATTTCGGTGGTGTTGATATTTACTCAAAGCATGTAGTTCTGTTCAGCTTCTCAGTTTCTTAATCCTTGGGTAAGTTATACAAGAGTCATTTAGGTCTTCTCTGATGAAATAGTGTTACCCAGATCTATTCCCTCTTCTGTTTTTTTGGGTCTCCTGTAGGGTAGAGTCACTCAGCTTGGAGAGGACCTCAACTTAAAGTAGCTATGCTTGTTAGTTCTCAAGTGTATGAGCTTGCAGTTTGTAGCACTGCATTTCAGAGCTTTTTTACAGTTCTAATTCCAAACAAATTCCTCATGTGTTATCCTGCTTTCTTTTGGCTCAGTCTATTCCTTATGTGTTTTGATCCACTCTTTGTTAACATACTCCTACTTTTTGTGTCCAGGTCACTCCAGAAACAGTACTGTTGATCCAAAAAACAATTCTTGAAGCAATCCGCTTTTTACCTATGCCAGTATTTCCCTTTGAATACCCCTAATCTACCTTATTTTCTTATTAATTTTATTGTTCCCTTAATTGGAAACCTTTCTCTTAAATTGTCTGTGTTGCAGCTTTAAAGCCAATTCTCATTTTGGAGCTATTTCACTTTGTATCATAAGATAGTAAGAAAGACTGACTTTGAAAACTAAATATTTAAGAGGCTTCACTGAATTGAAAACTAACTTCAAATCCTTGATCTGCAAAAGGAAGTGATTTGAAGCTGAATCTATTTGATTACCTTAACTACTGGGTTGTGTGGATGCTTCGAGCTTCAGTACTGCTGTATCTTTGGTATTTTGCTCTGAGTTTGAGTCTGTGAATCTGTCACATTTCTACAAAAAGGATTTATTTTTGTTAAGTTGGAATTTTCCAGAGGAAATGCTAACCATCTAACCTGTGCAGGCACCTCTTTGAAAGCTAGTAACAACATAGCTTATTTAAATGAAGACAAACACTTTGAAAACCTAGTTCTATATGAGTTAATAGCCAGAAAATGTTAGCAAGTATTTTGTGTACCATTGAAATGCATATGTTATAGCCTAGAAACCTGTGATTTAGATACTTGGTCCTTATAAGATTTTATTAAGCCAGAATTTAGCTGGCTTCACAATAATTTAATTTTCTGACTTCATAGTGGGATTATACAGTAAATGTAGGTATGTTCAAGCTCATATCTTGACTGGATCCTTTAACAGAGAATATGAGTGTTTTTCAGATCTTCAACTGATTATAAAGTGAGAGGTTAAACAAATGGTATAAACTTGAGTTTTGTAAGATTAATGATCCACAGAAGAGAGACACTTACTTACTATTCATGCAAACTATATGAGGTTCTTGTTGGTGTTGATCTGCAATCAGAAGCCGTGAATAAAAAAAATCACTGTGAAACATGTTGCCATCTAACTACCAGATATCGTCTGGAAACAGTTACAAGAAACTCTGTTAACTGACATTTACTTACTCTCCTGATGATAGGCTTTAAAACTAAATCTTGGGCTAATTTTTAAGCAGAGGGTAAGAAGCAAAAAGTAATATTTTGCTGTGTGATCTTGAGTTAAAAAATACACTCCCTGGTTGGTCTAGTACCTGCCGTGTCAGTAGAGGAACTTCAATTCACTGCACTAAATTTTGAATACAACTGCTAATATCTCTCTGTGTGTAAAACTGATTTAAAATTTACCACTTTACTATGGTCATTGATTGCTATTACCTCTTAGACACTGAGGCATGTACTTTGACATGAACATGCAGAATTGCAAAGTGTTACTGTGGGAACTGAATTTCTTAATGAAAGCCTTGTGGTGTATGGAGCTCAGCAATTTGCGCCTCTGAGAATCACAATCTTCTTAGGGAATTTTGGAGTAAATACATATAGAGTGATGTGTCTGTGTACACATATAGATAATTTAGTAAAAGACCAGATGTCACAGATGGTTTCCACATGTGCAGATTTATTTATTTGGTGCATATATATATGTGTATATGTGTAGTTCTCAGTTTGTTTAACAGAAAGATATCATAGTCTTCCAATTAAAAATGAAAAACTAAAATAATAAAATCTAGACTTTTTGTAAGAACTGAACTATCACAGTCCTGCTACTGCTTCAGAGCCAGGGTGTCATTGTCAGCTTCAGGTGTAGCCAGTATATTTCAAGGTTGGTTGGAGGAGCTGAGAATTGTTAGCTATGCATCTTTCAGAACTGGAGAATCTCATTTCTCAGAAAACTCAAGGTGCATTAAAATGAAATTTCCTGTCAGTGCATCTGACTGGCTTGGCAGCGAGCACTGTCAGGATCTGTCATTATAATTCACACAGGTTGAATCAAACCCCTGTGAAAAGAGACTATAATATTTTCCTGTAGGGGGAAATCATAGATAATAAATCAAAATACATCTTATTAAGCCATAGTCAGCAGAGACAGTAAGCCATTTTAAGAACTGTTGCCTTCTGGGATGTTGTTGAAATGTTTAAAATTTGAATTAATATAAAAATATTTGTGGGTTATTTTCTTCTGTTTATAAGCAAGATTTTCTCATAGAGGACA